AAATAAACAAATAAATAAATTTTTTTTTAAAATTACTTTAAAAGCTAAGTTTTATGTTCATTGTGAACTTAAACCTCACTACAAATGAGTATCATCTAATTCTTTGAGAGTGGATTAGTTGGAAGAGAACATATAATATGCTAGGCTGTCCACAGTGACTTAAAGGGGAAAACTGCCAGGCCTGCTAGCACGCAGTGTAATACCAGCACTCAGGAGGCTGAGGCAGGAGAATCATGAGTTTGAGGCCAGGCTGGGCTCTATACTGAGTTCAAGGCCAGCCTGAACTACATAGTGAGACCCTGTCTCAAAAGTGGGAGATGGAAAGTAGCAGAAAGTAGTAGTGAAGCTCGGACATGACTTGCACCTGATTTGTCTCAGGCAGCTTTCTGCTACGTAATCTTGGCACTTACCCAGAAGTGATCCCGTGTTCGCGTGAGAGACAGAAGCGACTCCGCGTGCTGTGCTGCTGATTAACACTTCGTGGTGCTCTGCCTTTCGCCTTCCCTAGGGCCAGTGTACCACGAGTACTGCCACTGTCCGGAAGAGGATCCCCAGGCCTGGCAGGAGTCTCTTGCTTGTCCAGCCCAGGAGCCCCAGATTGAAGAAGACTTTGCTTCGTTCCCCAGCATCCATCTCCAGCAGATGCTAAACGAAGTTCCCAGGAGATTTGGGGCCGAGAGGGGTGCTGTTGTTCACTATACGGTTCTCAATAACCGCATTTACCGGAGATCTTTAGGGAAATACACAGACTTCAAAATGTTCTCTGATGAGATTTTGCTGTCACTGGCAAGGAAGGTACGGAACTGCATCGACTGGTTTTTCACATTACTATAACTGAGTCATTTCGTTGTAACATTCAGGTGGTTAGAATCATTGAACGCGTGCCACCTAAATGTTCTAAATCCTCTACCTCTGAGCAGGTTACAGGTGGGCAGGCCCTGGGGGCATGGCCGGGTTTCTGAGAATTCCTAGCTCTTCACAGTGTGGGTCAGTTCCCTGAGTTTTCCCTTCTACGCGACTCCATCACCTGCTGCAGCCGTTTCCTCGCTGGTCCTGTGTCGGGGACTTTCTCAGTGGTGCTCCCAATCGTCCAGTCGTGGCCCCCTACTAACGGGGTTAGGCCCCCTTCCTTCAAGCCCTCTTTACTCACCAGCAGCCCTGTGTCATCCTGCTCTGCAGCCGTTCTTGCCACATTTGCGGAGTGCTGAATTCTCCCCAGCAGGGCAGCTCAAGCCACCTTCTGCTCGTTCTTGTTCCTGATCACACAGGGTGAAAAGGGGAGCCGGCCAGCCTTTGTCATTCCCACCTCATGAAACCATCCAGGTCGTTTTCTAACCAGAAGACAACTTTCCTGAGACAGCTTCCCCAGCGTGCCAAAGCTGCGGCTGCCATGGCTTCCCATTTTCAATGGCAGCACTTGGTCCGTCCCTTAGCCCAGCCTGCAGGCACATGAGCACATTGCAGGAGTGTGGAGCAGCGCTCCTCCTGGGCCACACCAGGAGGCATGTGTCTGTCCCTGGGTCTAATTTTCTTTTTTTTTTTTTTTGATCTGGTATTGAACCCCAGGACCTTTGTACTGAGCTACATCCCCAGACCTTTTTTATTTTTTACTTTGATACGGGGTCTCATTAAGTCACTTAGTTGCCTAGTCTGGATTTGAACTTGTGACCCTCCTTCCTTGGCCTCCAGTGTGCTGAAATTATAGGCACCCAGCACCATGCCTTTCTTCTACTGTTTTGTTTTGTTTGTTTGTTTGTTTTGTTTTATGTATTTGGTACAGGGTCTTGCTATGCAGTTCGGACTCGTAGTGATCCTCCTGTCTCAGCCTTCCCAGCTCTGGGATTATAGGTGATGGGATTGCATGCTCAACATGCCCAGCTCACCCAGCTCGCCCAGCACGGCATATGGTGCTGAGGACTGAACCCAGGTCCCTGCACTTGCCAGGCAGGCGCTTAGACCACTGAGCTATCTCCGTGGCCCCTACTGTTTTTAAATGGCCAGCTCTCTCAGAAACATTTGGAAAGCCCAGGAACTTATTTTTAACACCAAAGACTGAGGCCTCCCAGCACTAATGTTTGAACTTGTGTTTACTTAGGTTCGTCTTCCAGATTTAGAATTTTATATTAATCTTGGAGATTGGCCCTTGGAACATCGAAAAGTCAATGAAACCCCCAGCCCTGTACCTATCATTTCCTGGTGCGGCTCTCTGGATTCAAGAGATGTTGTCCTTCCAACATATGACATCACACACTCCACACTGGAAGCAATGAGGGGTGTTACCAATGATCTCCTCTCCATTCAGGGAAACACAGGTAACTTGAGCTTACTCCAAGAATAACATTTGCAAAGAATAAGTGAAAAGAACATTCAGTTGAAGAGACATAATATTTAAATAGCTATTCTTATTTTCTTTCTTTCTTTTTTCTTTTTTTTTTTTTTTT